CGGAGGGGCGCGAGGCGTGGAGGGGGGGGGGGGGGGGCGGTGCCCGTACCTGTGCGCACGGCCACGCACGCCCGACCGCACCCCGTGTCACAGCACTTCTCGTGGCGCTCGCACACGTGGTCGTCCAGACACCAGTTGGAGCGGCGCTGCCTCGGGTCGCTGCAGGGCGCTGCCAGGGGACAGGCCCCGGGGTGCTCTGGGGACAGGGGGGGCACAATGAACCCCCCATGCAGGTGAGACCCTCCATCTCCACCTGCCCTGAGAACTGCCCGGGGGGGGGTGTGTCCCGGCCTGACTCTGCCCCTCCTGCCCCCGCCCTCTGCAGACCCCTGCTCACTCCCAGCTCCTGCCCCCCTCCCTGCCCGGCCCTTCTCTCCCGTCTGCCCGGGGCGGGCAGGGCACCGGGGGCTGCCCATGGGGCGTCTCTGCAGCTGGTTACCTCGGTAGGGGGGCACGCAGTGCATGGCACAGCCGGCGAAGCAGCATTTGTCCTGCTGGGGGCAATCCCGGTCGTGAGCGCACGTGTCCCGCTCGGTGCACGGCACCAGGGTCTGCCAGGGCTTCTGCTTGGGGCACGCGCCGGGCTTCTCTGGAGAGAGGGGGGGTCACGTTATTGGATTTTAAGGGGAGCAGACAGACCACTGCTGTGCCCACGGGGGAGGGGGTGTTTTCCCCAAAGCCTGTACAAAAGGGCCATGTGAGGTGTGCTACGCGTGTACTCGTGTGATGTGTGTGGGGGGTTACGACTGTGAGCTCTGTACTGGTACCGGGAATGACTGCCTGTCCCGAGGAAGAGTGACAGAGATGCAGCCGTGTTAGGCTGGTGTAGCTGGAACAAAATGCAGGACAATGTAGCACTTTAAAGACCAACAAGATGGTTTATTAGGTGATGAGCTTTCGTGGGCCAGACCCACTTCCTCAGATCGAATAGTGGAAGAAAATAGTCACAACCATATATACCAAAGTGATACAATCTAAAAAATGAACGCATGGGAAACTGACAAATCAAATCTTAGAACAGGGTGGGGTGAGGGGGAAGGTAAGTTTCCGTGAGGTAGTGACATAGGGGTGATAATTGGGGAAGCTATCTCTGTAATGAGTGAGAACTACCATTACAAAGATAGCGTCCCCTATTATCACCCCTATGTCACTACCTCACGGAAACTTACCTTCCCCCTCACCCCACCCTGTTCTAAGATTTGATTTGTCAATTTCCCATGCGTTCCTTTTTTTGATTGTATCACTTTGCTATATATGGTTGTGCCGATTTTCTTCCACTATTTGATCTGAGGAAGTGGGTCTGGCGCACGAAAGCTCATCACCTAATAAACCATCTTGTTAGTCTTTCCAGTGCTACATCGTCCTGTACTTTGTCCTGAGGAAGGAATGTCCACTGAATGACTATGCTAATTAGCACGGCTGCATGGACAATGGCCATCAGGGTGGCCAATACACACCTGAGGAAGGTGTCTGGAAACCTGCAACCAGCCAGGGCATAGTGGCTGCGGGCATAGACTCATAGACTCATAGACTTTAAGGTCAGAAGGGACCATTATGATCATCCAGTCTGACCCCCCGCACAGCGCAGGCCACAGAATCCCGCCCACCCCCCCCAGAACAATCCTCTCACCTATGTCCCAGACACCGAAGCCTTCCAATACTTTGAAGGCCCCAACATGCAGAGAGTCCTTCAGCTGTGATCCGTGCCCAACGCCACAGAGGAAGGCGAAAAACCTCCAGGGCCTCCGCCAATCCACCCCGGAGGAAAATTCCCTCCCGACCCCCAACACGGCGACCAGCCAAACCCTGAGCACGCGGGCAAGACCCACCAGCCAGACACCCAGAAAGTTCCCCACAGCAACTCCCATCATCCCTCCATCGACCCACTTCCAACTGGAAATGAATGGTCAACTAGTTACCAAGATCATGTTATTTCATCCAACCATCCCCTTATCATAGAATCATCATCAAGTCCAGCCCCCTGCTCTAGGCAGGACCAATTCCAATTAAATCAACCCGGCGAGGGCTTTGTCAAGCCGAGACTTAAACACCTCTAGGGATGGAGACTCCACTACTTCCCTAGGTAACCCATTCCAGTGCTTCACCACCCTCCTAGTGAAATAGTTTTTCCTAATATCCAACCTGGACCTCTCCCACCACAACTTGAGCCCATTGCTCCTTGTTCTGCCATCTGTCACTACTGAGAACAGCCTCTCTCCATCCTCTTTGGAACCTCCCTTCAGGAAGTTGAAGGCTGCTATCAAGTCCCCCCTCACTCTTCGCTTCTGCAGACTAAACAGACCCAAGTCCCTCAGCCTCTCCTCGTAGGTCATATGCTCCAGACCCCTAATCATTTTGGTTGCCCTCCGCTGGACCCTCTCCAATGCGTCCGCATCCTTTTTGTAGTGGGGGGCCCAGAACTGGACACTGGGCCATGTGTCCCGCTCCAGCTTGGGAGGTACCAGGGATGGATAGAAAGTGCCATGAGGCCATCTCCATCTTTTCTTCAGTTCTGCTACTGGTCCCAGATGCGAGGGACAGAGCCGGGAAGGATTGACGACCCGTCCTGACATAGGATGTGCACCAGAGACTGCTAAGCTAGCAGTTGTAATATCTCTGCTGAGAGCCTGCGTCCAGAACTGGGTGACCGGTGCGTGTGACGTATTCTCCTTAACAGCCTCGCTCTCCACCTTTTCTTTCTTTTGTTAATAACCCTTTCGATGTTAGATGCTACAGGGTTGGCTCGGCGTGCTCTCGTGGGTACGATCCAGAGGGTGCATTGACCGGGGATCTGTGGCTGGTTCTTTGGGATGGGAGGACCCGTTTGGGGGAGGTGAGATCGGGTCCTATAACCCCTCACCTGTGCTAGGCCCGGGGCTGATTGGGGCATAGGGAGAGCTGGGGTGTCTGAGGGGTTTTGCTCGGGAGGCTTCCTGCCGGCCGGATTGGCAGCTGGAGCGCTCGGTGGGACCGGTGTGTGGCCTGTTTGGGAGGGCTGTAAATAGCCCTGGTTTGGGGCAATTCACCCTGAGCAGATGCCCTCAGTGGTGCCCAGACGTGGCCCGGACTGTCACAGAGGGGAGGGAGATTTGGCTGCTGGACAGGGGCACCCCCAGGGTCACGGCATCCACGTGCCCGGCACCGCAGCCGTGCCAGCCTGCGCGGCCCGGCCCCCCCAGCCGTGCCAGCCTGCTCCCCACTGCCCCTCGGGGCTCCCTGGGACCCCTAGCCCCTGGCAGGAGCCCAACCTGGAACGTGGCCACCACAGCTGCAGCCAGAGGCGCCCAAAGCCTGGGAGCTGCTGCTTGGCCAAACTCTCCCCCCCCAGGCTGGAGGGCTGGTTACCTTTCTCTGGGGCCCGGCACCTCCGGCCACACCCCGTGGCACAGCACTTCTGGTCCCCCGCACACTCCTTGTCCTCCTTGCACGAGGACTTGCACGAGGGTGACGTGGATTTGGTCCCGTCCATCAGGGGGCAGACGCCGGGCTTCTCTGCAAGCAGGAGGCAGAGCGACGTGGACGTGGTCCCGTCCGTCAGGGGGCAGACGCCGGGCTTCTCTGCAAGCAGGAGGCAGAGGAGTGAGGGGGCTCCCCAGGGGCGAGCCCCCCTCCCCAGCAGGGCCGCAGCCTGGCTCTCCTGGTGCTGCTGCTCCGTGCCGGGAGCGAGCCGGGGCCGGGTCACGCTGGCTCTGCCTCGGCGCTCG